TACATGTTTGCGTGCGTTAAGATAGGCCACGTTCCTATCAGCCGCTTGCACTGGCCGCCTGGTGCTTTGTCTTCCTGGTAGCTGTGATTACTGGGCCCTATTCATTTGGGTTCTTTCCAATTTCTGGGTGCTAACCAGAGCTCTTGGGCTCACAACCTAAAGATCATCTAAAGAATGAGAATAGTGAGCTTCCCACAATCAGAGGCTAAAGGAGAACCTCGAAGAATACTAGTGGAGAGATTTTTTTTGTAGAAGGAGAGAAATGGGGCCAAGAATCTGAGTTTTCCCTGTTCTAACCTTGGCCTTGTCACATCAACTCTGGGGACAAGTTCTCTATAAACCTTAAGTCTTTGGAAGCTGTCTGTATAAAATGTTAGTTACAGGGGCCCGTGTCATGTAGCAGCGGGTTGACCACACCACCTGTGATGCAGGGATCCATATCAGGATCATCAGTTCAAGTCTCGGCTGCTCCACTTCCCATTCAGCTCCCTGCTGATGGCCTGGGAAGGCAGCACAAGATGGCCCAAGTGCTTGGGCCCCTGCACCCACGTGGGAGGCCTGGATGTAGTTCCTGGCTCTGACCCAGCTCTGGCTGTTGTGGCCAATTGGGGAGTGAATCAGCAGATGGAAGATCTGTTTGTCTGTCTCTATCACTCTGCCTTTTAAATAAATTAAAATAAATCTTTAGGGACCGATGCTGTGGCGGATAAAGCCACTGCCTGCAGTGCCAGCATCCTGTATGGGCGCCAGTTCAAGTCCCAGCTGCTCTACTTCCAATCCAGCTCTCTGCTATGACCTGGGAAAGCAGTAGAAGATGGCCCAAGTCCTTGGGCCCCTGCACCCATATGGGAGACCTGGAGGAAGCTCCTGGCTCCTGGCTGCAGTGTGGCCCAGTGCTGGCTATTATGGCCATTTGGGGAGTGAACCAGCAGATAGAAGATTCTGTTTGTGTGTGTGTCTCCCTCTCTGTAACTCTTGACTTTCAAAAATAAGTAATCTTAAAAAAAAAAAAAAGACAACTACGAAGTGCTTCATGACATTATTTCAGTATCACAAGTTTTCCCACTAATGTTCATTTTCTAGTCCAGGATCCAATATACATTCCCACTATACATTTAGTTTTCATTTATTTAATTCAATTAATTGATTTATTTTTGGAGGACCAGCAGTGTGGGGCAACAGGTTGACCTGCCCACAATACTGGCTGTCCACTTCTGATCCAGCTCCCTTCTGATGTGCCTGGGAAAGCAATAGAGAATGGACCAAGTGCCACCCATGTACGTGCTCTCTCTTTCTCTCTCTCTCTCCCCTCTCTCTCTAACTTCACCTGTCAAATAAATAAATATATTTTTAAAAAGTTTATTTATTAGGCCGGCGCCGTGGCTCAATAGGCTAATCCTCCACCTTGCGGCGCCGGCACACCGGGTTCTAGTCCCGGTCGGGGCGCCGGATTCTGTCCCGGTTGCCCCTCTTCCAGGCCAGCTCTCTGCTGTGGCCAGGGAGTGCAGTGGAGGATGGCCCAGGTGCTTGGGCCCTGCACCCCATGGGAGACCAGGAAAAGTACCTGGCTCCTGGCTCCTGCCATTGGATCAGCGCGGTGCGCCGGCCGCGGTGCGCCGGCCGCAGCGCGCCGGCCGCGGCGGCCATTGGAGGGTGAACCAACAGCAAAAGGAAGACCTTTCTCTCTGTCTCTCTCTCTCACTGTCCACTCTGCCTGTCAAAAAAAAAAAAAGTTTATTTATTTACTTAAAAGGCAGAGCAACAGAGAGAGAGGGACAAAGAGAGATCTTTTAACCACTCGTTCACTTTCCAAATGCCCACAAGAGCCAAGACCGGGCTAGGCTGAAGTCAGGAGCCAGGAGCTCCATCCGGGTCTCCCAGATGGGTGGCAGGGCCACAGCACTTGGGCCATCTTGCGCTGCCTTTCCAGGAGTATTAGTGGGAGCTGGATGGGCAGCAGAGCAAGTGGGACTCACACAAGCAGTGCACTATGGGATGCCGGCGCTGCGAGCTGTGGCTTACCCCGCGGTCCCTCCCCAGCCCCTTTCACGTCCCCTGGTCTCCTCCAGTCTGTGGCGGTTTCTAGGTGCTTATCTTCTGCGACCTTGCTACTTGATTTTGTAGAATGCCCCTCAGTTTAGGCCATTCTGGCGTTTTCTCATATTTAGATTGGGGGCATGCATTTTGGGAAAGATCGGCACAGACTTGATACGGCCATCACAGAAGCATATCATGTACGTGCAGCAGCATATCAGCACACCTGTGATGCTGCCTTGCTGGCTACTGGTACATGACCCTCGATGCCTCGCTTAGGTTGAGGTCTACCGGATTTCCTAGTGCACATTTTCCCCCTTGGTGATTAATAAGCATTTTCTGGGGAGATACTCTGAGACGACGTGGGTATCCAGGTTCTCACGCCTCGTCTACCCATTAATTTTAACATCCATCCATGGTTCTTTCCTGCAGCAGTCATTACAGTGGTGTTTGCCCTCATTCCTTCTACATTTTTTTAAAGATAGAGTTAGTGAGAGAGACAGAGAGAAAGGTCTTCCTTCCGTTGGTTCACCCCCAAATGGCCGCTATGGCCGGCACGCTGCACCGATCCGAAGTCAGGAGCCAGGTGCTTCCTCCTGGTCTCCCATGCGGGTAGAGGGGCCCAAGCACTTGGGCCATCCTCCACTGCCTTCCCAGGCCACAGCAGAGACCTGGACAGGAAGAGGAGCAATCAGGACTAGAACCCAGCGCCCATATGAGATGCTGGCGCCGCAGGTGGAGGATTAACCAAGTGAGCCACGGCACTGGCCCCCTTTCTACATTTATTAGTTGAGACTCTACTCTAAGGAAGGACTGGACCCCAAACTTCTTTTTAAACATTTACCTCTATATTTATCTGTTTGAAAGACAGAGTTACAGAGAGAGATGGAGAGACAGAGAGAAAGAGCTTCCATCCACTGGTTTACTCCCTAAAATGGCCACAACAGTTGGAGCTGGGCCAGGTCTAAGCCAGGAGCTCCATCCGGGTCTCCCATGTGGGTGCAGGGGCCCAAGGACTTGGGCCATCTTCTGCTGCTTTCCCAGGCCATCAGCACGGAGTTGGATCAGAACTGGCATAGCCGGAACTCAAACTGGCACCTATATGGGATGCTGGCACGGCAGGTGGCAGCTTTACCCTCTATACCACAGCACCGGCCCCTGAATCTGAAGTTTTCTAATGGGCTCTTCCTTCTCTGCCAAAATATTCCATCCTGAGATGCACCAGGCAAGGTACTTCATGTTTGTTTAAACATGCAAACCTCACTCGATACCTTGTCCCCAACCACACTGCAGTCCTTTTTCTCTGTATCTCAAACATCTGGAAACAGCCTGTGTGGGAAGGGTAAATAGACAGACCGGTGGTTCTCTGGTCAGTTGACTAACGCACCTTTGTGTGCAGGCAGTTGCTTGCTTGTCAGAGCAACCGAGCTGCAAGCAAGCACGGATAGGGGGGAGCCTCAGGATCAGCTGGAATCTGGGATCCAAGCCTTGCTGGGACCCTCTCTCTGTTTCTCATTCCTGCTTCACATCACCTCCCTGCTTCACCCTCCCTCCCGCTGGCTGTCTCCGTGTGACTGACCACAGCAGCTGCGTTGTACATTTCCAAAGAGCAAACTCACAATTCCCAGGAGAGTTATCTGATTGGCCGCTCTTGAGTCAGACCCACTCCTGGACCACCCGGCTCAGCCAGCGGGCAGGATTTGGCAAGGACTTGGCTGGCGGCTCCCTCAGGCAGTGTCCGGGAGTAGTTCCCAGAAGTTAAGGTGTGTTTCTGAGCAAATATTCTGAGCTG